ATGAAAAATTGTCTCAGCGAATATATTGCCGAAATGTCTGCGCCGCACTTCCTTCTGAATAGAAACGCAAGTTCAGTCATTAAACGCTTGCAGGTTAGCAAATAGATTTGTCACTTCCACTTATAGTTAGTTCCAAAAAATTGGTTGCTGCGTGGTCAGAGTAACAGTCTTTTGTGTTATCTTTAATGCTCGTTAAGTCATTCTTCTCTATTAACTACGCTGAATATGAGTTTGTAAAAGTGCGAGAAATTTCTGGTTTTTGAATCCCATCGTGAGTGCAAAGCATGAGAGAATTTTGGAATAACAAGTTGCACTCTTTTAGAAGTCTGTGCGCCAGCTTTCCCTTTAGTTTACTGGATAATAGTTTGGTTTTTGACAGTCAGAAGCCTAAAAATCTCCGTCTCAACGTTTCTCGCTGAGATTGGTCTTCTTGTTTGCGCAGCTAAATATGATCTGTTTTGAAATCTTTAGTTAAAATTGTACAAAATTTAATGGCTTCAGAAGGTTTTTGCATTTTTGTGCAGACTTCTGATCCGTAAATAATATACGCTGCTTAAGCAATTTGGTGAGAGTAGACCGTTGGTTCATGATAGTAAGGGCAAAGTGAACAGTTGAAGACAATCAATCGTACGTTTTTTAATAATTTGATAAATGAAAGTGACTGAGAGTTAATCTTTTATAGACCAAATTGTCTGTATTAACCCGCCGTTTAAAATTTAGAAAAAACTGTATATAAAATTTACAGCCAAAAGTTTTGCTGAAGGATGCGGAAAACGCTTTCTACGAGGTTTTGAGGTGGGCAGATCCAAATGATGCAAAAGTAAGAGATTGCGTGATTTCTTTTTGTAGATCTCTAAAATAATTTCAAATGTTTTGACAAATTCTAATTGCACATTTTGGGCAGAGATTCTGTGATGCGAAGCAGTAACAAAATTATGCTAGCTAGATTAGTTTCAAAGCTTGGTCTACAAAAGTGAACGTTACCGTCCTAATAAGTGCGAATGTTATTGCTTTATATTATTCAACTTTTGTTTCGGAATTCCATAAAGTTTAATGGATTTCTTGAAGGTTCTTCTGCTCACAGCGAAATTGGCCATAGCGCATGCTCATTATGGGAAAGCATTGAAATGTTTAAGGAAGGCGGCCGAAGAGAAACAGTACTCTAACAGCGAATCCTTAGACAACGCAATTATTGAGGTAACTCATTTGATCTTTTATTTACAGTAACCACTCTTACACTTCTTGTACTTTCAGGTAATTGATCACTTGGGCTGGGTGCATATCTCGTCATGCCTCCGGAATAGTTTCATATTAAAGTACCACTCTCAGTATCGGTTATTCTAATTTTTGCCGTTAGCGGGGTGGGTTTTATTCGCGCACGTTGCCATGGGAGTAACAGGTTTTGGTTAATCGCGATGCCGATTGATTAATTAACATTAGGCTACAAATCTACATCACTCCGGATTTCTAAACCTAAACCTAAAGGAACTTTGGCTTTGACATCTACTAGACTTTGCCTGCTCTCTAAATGTTGTTTGCCCTGTGACCTCCAGTTATTTAATCCATCTGAAGAAATTCTCATTTCTTTAAGTTAATTTGACATTGCGCAAGGCACTACAGTCTTCAACACATTAAACTGTCATAATGCGAAAAGCATTTCTGTTTATTCACCTTCCACTGTAGTGCACTGCTGTCACTTTTCAGACGTAATTAGTGTCAAAGACTGATTTGTAAATTTTGGGTAGGCGGCCTCCAAGCCCCTGCGCCGGCCCACCATTGCTCAACAGAATTCTCCTCTCTTCCAGAAACACTTACAATTTGTGGGTAAGAATGTATCTGAATTTTTCCAAAATGTACTTTATGTTAAATGCTTTGTCTGCCATCAATCACTCAGTGAGGTAATTAAATTAATAAAGAGAAGCCTGTGCACTTAGCTCTCATCGAGGTGCTTTTATTTTAACTGCGCATGAAACGCATATGAAAGTTTGCTAGTCAAAAGGAACCGACCAATGAAGTCGAAGGTTACAACTACTCGCGGAGGGAAGGGATTTCACGATGCAGAACAACAGCACTCACTCGTCAGTAGTAGTTTTGTTAAAAAACGCTCTGACCTACAGCGTCCTTTTTTGAATAACTAGTACCTCCGCTCTCACAGTGCAGCAGGAAAGTCACAAATACAACTGATGCGGACCTTAAGGAGCTATATAACAAAGCGATAATACTGCAGCAGACCTGCACTAAATGTTACGGTGAGAAAATAAGTAATAAGAACAGAACACGTTGTACGGATGACAAATTAACATTAACAACTAATGCTCTTTTGGAAGTAAGGTAGAAGCAGTAGAATTAGCAATGTGTTTCTCCTCAACAACGCCTAATAAATCCGAAGTTTCTACGTACCATATGCAACGTAAAAAGTACCCGCAACGGAAGACCCATGTTTAAAAGAATCAGCAATGCAGTTATGAGTGAGATCTCTGACAACAATGATATCAAGGGTTGTTAGACAGTCATTTCAATGAGCTTATATGTTTAATCACTTCCTCCCTTCCTCGACTCGCTTCGTGATCTAGACGAAGCTTCACTTTTCGTGCTGGCACTCGATGACGACCTGAAGCAACAGAAAACGTAACGCTCTCGGCTACTAAAACATCGGTAATGGAAAAGAAGCAAAATAAAAACTGGTGAGAATGAATGATTGCAGTGCAGCCGGTAATCTGAATCCAGTAAAGGCAAAATGTACAAAAGAATTTTGTTTTTTTCTTTAAATACAGGGCCGGTTAAGTACAGTCCTGGGTATCCTAGTACGCAGAGAATTTGAGAGTCAAATAGCTGTTGCAGCACAGTTATAAGAATGAAGCCGTTCCAACCAAAAAGCATAACCTCCTCTCCTCGAGCCTGTTTACTAAAGTAAACTCCGCCCCACTCCAAGTTTCGTCCAAGGTGATGCTTTTCTGCTGAGCCGTTTAATCAAACAGCAGCGAAGATTGAGGTCACGCTGCACATAACTGGGAGGGAGAGCCTTCTATAATCTCCTTTACCCCTCGTAACTCTTTTCTTCGGCGCGGCCGTCTCTGCATAAATGAAGGAATTTCCCAACAAATTTTACTCTGAAAGTCGCTCTACCTGCCAAAAAACTCTTGTACTGCTTAATTCAATGCGAAAGTCAAGCCCTCACAAACGAATGGTCTCCCTACCACACATTATATGCAAGATGGAACGGATCCGAGATCTCTATACCTAACGACCTTCTGACAGCTTAACCAACAGGCAAAATCCCCAAATCCCTTGCAACACTCACACTGCAGAACAGTTGAAATGGAGAAACGGATTAAATTTAAATTTTTGCAAGTAATTTCATCCCGCAAGTTTACCAAGAAACTGAACATGCTTTTTTTCAAACATATACAATTACGCCCACTTACGTCAACCTACCGCTTTCACCTTATACAGAATCGAATCGGGTAGTTATCGATAATATAGGTATTTTGTTCTTACAAGTGGTTAAATGCTGTATTTTTTAAATGAGGATGCCCCAATAAATATAAAAAATAACATTTTGAAAACCTGAAGAGGTTCATCTTACTGCCATAAAGAGCATGCTTCCTGCGACTCTGACTGTGTAAATGTAAGGAAATAGTAACATTTGCTCGGGAAGGAAATTGGGTTTTAAAAAAAAGCTTGACTCAAAAAATGAAAACAAGGGGACTTTGCGAAATTCAAAATATACGCAGGAGAAAAAAACCTTGTTAGTCCACTAACCGAAGTGGCCACAAGATCTCGACTTCTTTAGAATGTTTTCCCACTAGATCATGAATTATACACAGAAAAAAATATATAGTTTGGGATCAATATTCAAATCCCCTTCAAACTTTTACAAAATAAATTCGAACGTTAACATGATAAGTCCCAGCCAAGTAAAACATTCAAGCTTTGAGAAAAAGCGCAGTAACCAGAATATATATAAGCAGCTCCGGCTCATTTACCTTGTAATGTCCTTTATCTTTCAGCAGTTGAAGCTTGAGCCAGCGCAGTTCTCTGATAGCTAAACCCTCCATTTTTATAAAAAAAACTTGGAAACTCGCGGAAGATTTTGAAGGATTTAATCAGCACAGGTGAGAAGAAAAAGCCCTTCACAAGTTCAAATCATAGACTTGAAAGAGACTGATGAAAATAACACTCTTCCTAGATGAATGCAAAAAATGACGAAAAGAAATCTAGAACATTTATTCAAAAACATACCAAAGAAGTGAATGAAACCCCGTTCATAGCTTCCAAACTCACCGAGAACTTGCTATTAAAAGCACAAGTTATCCATACCAACTTTAAAAACTTACCCACTGCATATCTGTTTAAAGGAAAATAAAAACACTTTTGATCATGATGCTTCTTGTAAATACCTAGTGTTACTAATTCGAGACACTGCTATCTGGCGACACCATTTTCAAAAAATTTCAAAATTAAAATTTTCTTCAAAAGTTTCCGCCTACAAAAATTTAGAAGCAGTGAAGCGCACCCTTGAACAAGCGTATCAGCAAAAGTTACACAACTACAAAAAAGCTTTGCTGCCAGTGATGCTTCTGTCGGAACTATAACTCTTTAAATCCAGAAGCCCTATTACAATTACCCAAAGAATAAAAAATGCAATATAAAACTGGAAGGAATTTAGTTGAAAAAAGCGAATGAATTAATTAATTCAGAAAAAAAAGAATTTTCCGATTACAGATACATCAGCATCTCTGCATTCCAAGATACATAAAATTTGAATGAGCCAAGACAACAAGACTTTATCCGAATCCCATCCTAACACCAGAAAAAACAACTCTTCCAGCAATTTGAAACAATGTTGAGACTAAAAATATCCTGACCTACTCAAACAATTACCCAGTCATACTCTACTACAAATAATACTGAAAAATGGAAAAAAAAAAAGATAAAAGAAAAACTGCGATTTTCTTAAATATCCTAACCTCATTCAAAACAGAAAGTGATTCAAAAATACGAGGTCGATGGAGATCTAGGAACCACTCTTGACTTTTGAATTAACAAAAAAATTTGTTTCGTAAAAAAACTGAGCATTAAACCAAGGCGTTTACCTAGGGTTAGTACTTCTACGAAGTGAAGCAAAGAAAAAACAAAATTACAAGCTTCAAAAATCTCCAGTTCATGAAAAAAAACAGGAGAAAATAGCAAAAAAATGAAAGTCAATCAAAAAAAAGGAAGAGCAAGCCTGTGAAATCCCGCGCCAATGCGGTGTCGTAGCTGCAAGGCCCTCCCAGTGATGCAAACCAGATAACCGAATTTAGAATAAGAGAAGTGCTTTTGAAGCGTCCATTCAATAAAAAAGCAGTTAAAGGCATAAATAGTTCATTAAAAATTACCTGCTACTTCTGCTTTCATCCGCCGAACGATTACTCGAGGAACTTGATGAAGATGACCTTCGCCTTCTACGCTAAAATGTTTCAAAACAGTTTAAAGCATTTTTAGCTAACTTAGAATATATAGCATCAAATGACTCGTGACGTCTGGAACAAGAAAACCTAGTCCCAAGGCAAAAAACTACCATTTCAAAAATCTACACTCTCTGTAACCAGAAAAATTAGTGAAAATGAACTGCAAAATCTACAAAACTGTGAAAGTTAAAATCGACCCATAAACTAGCCTCGCTCTCTATACTAGAATCGCGACCCCTGTCGCGATTCCGAGAGTCTCGTCTATGCCTTTCATACGTGCGATACGAATACCTCCTGCGATCTAGGCCTCTACGTTCATCATACCTCCGGTCCGAAGAACGATCCCAGTTCCGGCTGTGACGATAGAATCTGTCCAGAGAACGAGACCTACAACGGACATAGAAGAGAAAAAATTACATAAAGTAATGAAAGAAACGCACAAAGCAGAATAATATTTTATTTCACAAAAACCAACGTTATAAATATAATAACATATTTAATTATAGCTTTTAAAATAGGAATTTCTCTTAAAAAATGAGTGTCGTAAAGATTCTAACCCCACCTACGTCTTCGCTCAATGTTATAACTCCTTCTTCTATGGCGACTAGGAGTTCTTCTCCGAAAACCACGGCTGTGACTCCTTCGGTCTCTGCTACTTCTTCGCGTCCTTCTACTGCGGCTGTCGCTTCGGCTTCTACGATGTCTCTTGTAATTCTTAGAATCACTGTCTTTCCCATTCCGTTCCTTACTACGACTTCGCCGTTCTTCTTCTCCTAAACAAGTTGCACCAAATAAATTAATAGTGAATATCCATTAAATTGCCTAAAATACTGCAAAAATCCCCTCGCACAAGAAGCTAATTTAAAATCATAGATCTTTTCAAGAAACGAGTAGGCCCGCGATCATCCTCCTATCCAATAGAAAGAAAAACAGTCTCTGAAAATGATAATAGGAACATTTAGCTTATTATGAAAAATAAAATAAAAAGTACATTATACAAACCTTTAGAGATTCCTTGAACAACAGCTTCTTTATTTTCTGTAGTAGAGTCATTACCAGTAACTTCCGTAATACTAGCTCCAGCTACTTCAGGTTTTTCCTTAGACTCCTGCAAAACCATGTTTTTAGAAAATAAACTTATAGATACCCAAGAAGTCAATGTCAACCCGTGCCCTAAAGCTTAGAAAAAGGGTTCACCACAAAAAACATTTTGAACAATAATAACGCTAAAAAATTTCAAAACAAACTTAAACAAAAGAAAAACCCAACTAGAATAAAAATTCATCGTAGAACAATTGTCCCACACAGCTACTAACGTGAAGCCCATTTCCTCAGTAAAAAAAAAAAAAAAAACAATAAACACAAAAAATGACAACAAATGAATGAACAGCCTTGAAATTTACAAGTAACTACGGCATAAACCTGAAAGGATGCTGATGTACCACACAAACTGAAAAAACCACTAGCAACAAAAAACAAGGAAATTTTTACCCAACTTTTGAAAAGTTATTTAGCATAAAAGAAATGCTTTAAAAACAGAATATTTTCACTTACTATTTTTTCTGATATCTCGCCTTCAGGCGATTTTTCTCCAGAATGACGAGTTGTAAGGGAAGGCTCTTCCACGGTTATCTTCTTCTCTTCTGTTTTCCCATCGTCTATAACCACCTTCTTAAAACTGTCGTCGTGGCCCTCACTCTTATTCCGCAAGTTCATTCCTGATTCATTCTGTTTTTCCCTTGAAACATCATTCACTTCCAAAGATATGTCCTTTGAAATACCCGATTCCTTCGCAGTGATTTCATGCTGTTCCAAAAGCGCCGTTTTAGGCTCTTTATCTTCTGCATTTTTATGATGTTTCCGTTCCTCATCAATTTCATCTGGTCCACTTTTCTGAGAATTCGATTTCTTTGAGATCACTTTAGCTGCATGAACAACTTCAGTTGGTTTTCCATCAGATTCTGCCCGCTTCCCTTTCTTTGAGTTCTTCGAAGAGTCCTCTCTTTTTCCATTGACCTGAGCAGATACAAGCTTCTCACTCGTCTTATGTGAATGACCTGTAGACTTGCCACCAACAATCTTAGGAGACCGTTTACGAGAGCTCTCAGTTTCATCATTCTTTTCATTGCTTCCAGACAGAGTAACATCCTGCGCCCTCTCCCTTCTTTTTTGCAATTCATCTAGTGTAATCAAACGATTCTGAAAAGAAAACTTTATAAAAAGAATGGCACAGCAGCGGCCACTTACTAACACAAAAAACGCTCTGACCTGTTCTCTTCGCCAATGCGGTGGCGTACGACTTCTGTCGCGATCACTTCCTTCAGGAGTACGGAAACGTAATGCACCGCGTCCCTACAAGTAACAATCAAAAAATAAACGAAAATTTAACACTCAATAGTCAACCCTTACAATGCAATTGCAAAGAAAAAGAAATAGTTAAGCCAGCAATGCTTCTAAAACCAGCCTTAATTTTGTGGCCAGAACGCGTCATTCTTGTCCTAGGATAACGTCGAAAGTCGTTATCTCGTCTGCGACGACGAGGGGGGCTCTCCTTCAGTTCTTTTTGTTTCCCTCTTTCTTTTTTCTTCCTGTTTGGAGACTGAGATCTGAATCGGCGAACATTTTAATGCAGCAATAACAAAAAAGTAAACCCTACGAAATTAGCAACTTTGGATAAAACAGTTAAATAATGAAGAAACCTCCTCATCAGGTACTTGTTTTGACTTTCCAAACCTTCCGGAATATCTTCAGGTTTTATGGTAGAAAAATTTTCTTCATCATTCCCCAAGTCTTCTTTCACCTTATCCTCCTTGTCGCGTTTTCTCCTCTTCTTTTTTTCCTTTCTGGTAGCAGCTTCATTAGACAAAGATGAACCTCTAAAAAGACAGTAAAATAATAGGAGGTAAACTGAATAATCCTTGAATCTTTTAATACGCTTGTCAGGAACGTTCAATAAAACCAGTTAAATTTTGAAAAAAAAACTTAATCACTTCAGGAAGACAGAAAATAAGAAGCATTTAAAACATAACACTCAAAAATCTGTAAAAATAAGTTCAAAAACTGAAAATATCAGTGAAAAAACATGATAGCCAGCACAAATTAAAAGGATTACACTGAAGAATCTTCAGAACTTGACGACTTCTGCCGTTTTTTAGTTTTGCGAACTAGCTCACCACAATTCAAGATAACTACATCTGCCAAAGGACGATACTTCTGATTTGTCTTTAAATGTTCAATTTCCTTAACTACTTCAAAGCCAGAAACTACCTAAAAATAAAGTTTTTTAGAACAAGCAAATCAAGAAATCCAATACAGAAATTGACAGCATTTTAGAAGCTTCTGTAAACAAGCTTTTAAAAGCATGCTCTGCAATGAGTGACTTCCTTACCTTTCCAAAAACTACGTGGACATTATTTAAATGAGCTGCTGGGCTAGTTGTGATAAAAAACTGAGACCCGTTTGTGTTTGGACCTTTATTAGCCATTGAAAGTAAGTACGGTTCATCGTGTTTCATGACGAATTCTTCATCATCAAACATGCCGCCATAGATTGACTCTCCTCCAGTGCCATCACCCTTAGTAAAATCTCCGCCCTAAAAACCTAGAATACAATTGCAAGAAAACGAATAAAAACAAAGAAAGAAATAACCCGAAAATAAGATACGTGAAACATTTTCCTCTACTGAAAAAAAAAAA